TGAACTCAAAAACCTGCAAATCGACGAATTGATGAATTGAAAAAATCCAAATTGTGAAACTGAAAAATCGAAAAATTGAGTTCTCAACAATTTGGAAAATCGTATAATTGCGAACTCAAAAACTGAAAAATCCCGAAATTGAAAATCGAAGAATGGGAAAATCAAAAACATTGTAGAAACGCATGATTGAAAAAATTAAAAATCGGAAAATCGAGAAATTGGAAAATTGATACATCGAAAAATGGAGAAATAGAAAACAAAATAAAACTCGAAAAATTGAATAATAAAAATCCTGCAGAAACTAAACATTGAAAAATTGAAACATTGTAAAATCAAACAATGGCATATCGAAAAATTAAAAATCGAGAACTTGAAAACTCGAAAAACCTTAAACTCGGAAAACTGCAAATCGGAAAATTGAAAACGTCTAAATCGAATCAATGCAAATTGAAAAAACTGAAAAATCCAAAAATTAAAACTAGAGAATCTGAAGAAACGAATAATAGAAAAATTCAAAAAATTGTGAAACGCATAATTGAAAAATCAAAAAATTAAAAATCGACAAACTGGAAAATTAAAAAAAACGAAAAATCGAAAAATTGGAGAATGGAGTACATTCAAGAAACCAAACACAGAAAAATCGGAAAATTAGAAATCGACAAATCAAAAAATTGAAAAATTGTAATCAAAAAATTGCGAACCGAAAGATTAAAAATCGGGAAATTGAAAAAAGAAAACCTAAAAACTCGCGAATTTGCAAATCGAAAAATTGTGAGATGGAAGAATTGAAAAATCGAAAAATTGAAAACCCAAAAACTTGGAAAATCGAAAAAACTCAAAAATCTGAATTTGAAAAATCGAAAAATAGGAAAATCCAAAAAGTTGAAGAAACGCATGATTGAAAATCGAAACAAACTAAAAACGAAAAACTGAGAAATAAAAATATGTACTGAAGAAACCAAACATTGAAAAATCGAAAAAATTGTAAAATCAAACAATCGCAAATCAAACAATGAAGAATTGCAAATCGAAAAAATCAAAATCGCGAAACCGAAAAATCGTATAATTGCAAACTGAAAAATTAAAGAACCGAAAAACTGAAAAATCGAAGAAACTGAGAAAGCCGAAAATTAAAAATAAAAAATCTGGAGAATGAAGAACAGAAAAATAAAAAAATTGTAGAAACGCATAAATAATTTAAAAATCAAAAAATTAAAAATCGGGAAATTGGAAATTTGAAAACCTGAAAACTCGAAAACTTCAAATCGAAAAATTGTAAGAAGGAAACTCTACAAATCGAAGAACTGAAAAATCGAAAAAGTCAGAATCGTGAAACTGAAAAATCGAAGAATTGAAAACCCAAATTTTTCGATTTCTAGTGTTTCCTTCTTACAAATTTTCGATTTGCAAGTTTTCGAGTTTTCAGGTTTTCAATTTTTTATTTCTCGATTTTTAATTTTTCGATTTCTCAATTTGCCAATTTCCCGATTTTTATTTTTTTGATTTTTAAATTATGCGTTTCTATAATTTTTTTTATTTTTCTGTTCTTCATTTCTTCAGATTCTTTATTTTTAATTTTTGGCTTTTTCAGTTTTTTGGTTCTTCAATTTTTCAGTTTGCATTTAGTCGATTTTCCAATTTCGCGATTTTGATTTTTTCGATTTGCAATTTTTTCTTTTTTTGATTTGCAATTGTTCAATTTTACAATTTTTTAGATTTTTTATTTTTCCGATTTTTCAATGTTTGGTTTCTTCTGTGCATATTTTGATTTCTCAGTTTTTCGTTTTTATTTTGTTTCGATTTTTCAGTCATGCGTTTCTTCAATTTTTTGGATTTTCCTATTTTTGGATTTTTCAAATTCGATATGCAACTATTCGATCTTCGATTTTCCAAGTTTTTGGGTTTACAATTCTTCGATTTTTCAATTCTTCCATCTTACAATTTTTGATTTGTAAGTTCGCGAATTTTTAGGTTTTCTTTTTTTCAATTTCCCGATTTTTAATTTTTCGATTTCTAATTTTCCGATTTTTTGTTTTCTGTTTTCCAGTTTGTCGATTTTTAATATTTTTTGATTTTTCAATTATTCGTTTCACTATTTTTTTAATTTTTCAATTGTTCGTTTCTTCAGATTCTCTAGTTTTCACTTTTGGATTTTTCAGTTTTTTCAATTTGCATTGATTCGATATTTCCGTTTTTAGATTTTTCAGTTTCGCGATTTAGACGTTTTCAATTTTTCAATTTTCCGACTTTTAGGTTTTTCGGGTTTTCAAGTTCTTGATTTTTAATTTTTCGGTATGCAATTGTTTGATTTTACAATTTTTGATGGAAGAATTGAAAAATCGAAAAATTGAAAACCCAAAATCTTGGAAAATCGAAAAAACTCAAAAATTTGAAAAATACAGAATTTGAAAAATCGAAAAATAGGAAAATCCAAATAATTGAAGAAACGCATGATTGAAAATCGAAACAAACTAAAAACGAAAAACTGAAAAATAAAAATATGTACTGAAGAAACCAAACATTGAAAAATCGAAAAAATTGTAAAATCAAACAATCGCAAATCAAAAAATGAAGAATTGCAAATCGAAAAAATCAAAATCGCGAAACTGAAAAATCGTATAATTGCAAACTGAAAAATTAAAGAACCGAAAAACTGAAAAATCGAAAAAACTGAGAAAGCCAAAAATTAAAAATAAAAAATCTGGAGAAATGAAGAACAGAAAAATAAAAAAATTGTAGAAACGCTTAATTTAAAAATCAAAAAATTAAAAATCGGGAAATTGGAAATTTGAAAACCTGAAAACTCGAAAACTTACAAATCGAAAAATCGTAAGAAGGAAACTCTACAAATCGAAGAACTGAAAAATCGAAAAAGTCAGAATCGTGAAACTGAAAAATCGAAGAGTTGAAAACCCAAAAATTTGGAAAATGGAAGAACAAACTGTAAACTCAAAAATCCAAAAATTAAAAATCTATCGAATCTGAAGCAATGAAGAACAGAAAAATCCAAAAAAATGTACAAACGCATAATTGAGATATTAAAAAATAAAAAATCGAGAATTGTAAAATTGAGACATCGAAAAATGCAGAAATAGAAAACAAAATAAAACTCGAAAAATTGAATAATAAAAATCCTGCAGAAACTAAACATTGAAAAATTGAAACATTGCAAATCGAAAATTAAAAATCGAAATCGCGAAACTGTAAAATCGAGAAAACTGAAAAATCAAAAATTACAAATAGAGAATCAGAAGAAATGAAGAACAGAAAAATCCAAAAAATTGTAGCAACGCATAATTGAAAAATCAAAAAATTAAAAATCTGGAAATTCGAAAATTGAAAAACCGAAAAAAAAATAAAATCGAAAAATTGAAAAATAGAGACACTGAAGAAACCAAACACTGAAAAATCGGAAAATCAGGAATCGAGAAATAAAAAATTGAAAAATACAGAAATTGTGAACTCAAAAACTTGCAAATCGAAGAATTGATGAATTGAAAAAATCCAAATTGTGAAACTGAAAAATCGAAAAATTGAGATCTCAACAATTTGGAAAATCGAATAATTGCGAACTTAAAAACTGAAAAATCCCGAAATTGAAAATCGAGAATGGGAAAATCAAAAAAACTGTAGAAACGCATGACTGAAAAAATTAAAAATCGGAAAATCGAGAAATTGGAAAATTGAGACATCGAAAAATGGAGAAATAGAAAACAAAATAAAACTCGAAAAATTGAATAATAAAAATCCTGCAGAAACTAAACATTGAAAAATTGAAACATTGTAAAATCAAACAATGGCATATCGAAAAATTAAAAATCGAGAACTTGAAAACTCGAAAAACCTTAAACTCGGAAAACTGCAAATCGGAAAATTGAAAACGTCTAAATCGAATCAATGCAAATTGAAAAAACTGAAAAATCCAAAAATTAAAACTAGAGAATCTGAAGAAACGAATAATAGAAAAATTCAAAAAATTGTGAAACGCATAATTGAAAAATCAAAAAATTAAAAATCGACAAACTGGAAAATTAAAAAAAACGAAAAATCGAAAAATTGGAGAATGGAGTACATTCAAGAAACCAAACACAGAAAAATCGGAAAATTAGAAATCGACAAATCAAAAAATTGAAAAATTGTAAAATCAAAAAATTGCGAACCGAAAGATTAAAAATCGGGAAATTGAAAAAAGAAAACCTAAAAACTCGCGAATTTGCAAATCGAAAAATTGTGAGATGGAAGAATTGAAAAATCGAAAAATTGAAAACCCAAAAACTTGGAAAATCGAAAAAACTCAAAAATCTGAATTTGAAAAATCGAAAAATAGGAAAATCCAAAAAGTTGAAGAAACGCATGATTGAAAATCGAAACAAACTAAAAACGAAAAACTGAAAAATAAAAATATGTACTGAAGAAACCAAACATTGAAAAATCGAAAAAATTGTAAAATCAAACAATCGCAAATCAAAAAATGAAGAATTGCCAATCGAAAAATTCAAAATCGCGAAACTGAGAAATCGTATAATTTCAAACTGAAAAATTAAAGAACCGAAAAACTGAAAAATCGAAAAAACTGAGAAAGCCAAAAATTAAAAATAAAAAATCTGAAGAAATGAAGAACAGAAAAATAAAAAAATTGTAGAAACGCATAATTTAAAAATCAAAAAATTAAAAACCCGGAAATTGGAAATTTGAAAACCTGAAAACTCGAAAACTTACAAATCTAAAAATTGTAAGAAGGAAACTCTACAAATCGAAGAACTGAAAAATCGAAAAAGTCAGAATCGTGACACAGAAAAATCCAAAAAATTGTACAAACGCGTAATTGAGATATTAAAAAATAAAAAATCGAGAATTGTAAAATTGAGAAATCGAAAAATAAAAAAAAAATCGGTAAATTAAAAAACTAGACTCATCGAGGAAACCAGACACTGAAAAATATACTTAAACAATGGTAAGGCGGAGGGGGTAATTTTGTTCGTAAAAATGAATGAAGCACGTTTGAAGTATGTAATATGAGTATATTTTGCGGCTAACAGGTCGTACGAATAATACAATAGATACATCAGTACAGAGAATAAGAGTGGTAACTACAGGGAAAACAGTCGGAAATTAATTTAAAAATTAATTATATATACATAAACTGTTAACACATTATTGACCAAGATTCTACGTATTAAATGATAATACACAACAATCTTGATAAAAAAATAGTATCACATCAGTTATTGCTTCTGCAGCACTATCAACGAAACTGGTCGGCGGCGAAATAAAAAATACTCTTAGGCCGGGGACATATCTGGCGGAACTTCAGCTGCGTAGTTTAGCGCGCGGAATTTCGCTCCCTGGTGTCAAATGAAAATAAATACATTGAAAGCGAGCTGTACCCGCAAAACGGTGACGCGTAATCTCGCCAACATTGTAACCAAGGTGTTGTATAGATATGTCCCCGGCCTTAAATCAACAGAAAAAGCGTACACATTGATGATATTTACCTGACATGCATAAATATTAGACACTATCTACGACACGTAGGAACTTGTTCTTACATGTTTGTTTTAATTTTTTTTAAACACACCTTTAATCGAAACATGGTAGCTTAAAAAATGACTACAGTTGCTTGATAAATGAAATGTGATGTGACATGTAGCTGTAGAAAATTTCCACGTTCTAACCTAATCCAAGCACCAACAATCTCTATGATATGATCGTGACGAGTCTAGCGTTAGTCAGTAACAAATAAATAATTATAACGAAAAACAAAAATTCAACAATTTTGCGAAGGTCATCACTTCGTGATTACGTCATTACGTCGTTACGTAGCTGTCAATAACGCCACCGCGAGAGCACCATGCGATCGATGGAAATGTCAAATATGTGTGTAATATCAGCGTTGCTGTCAATCCAGAAACAAACCTGAAGTAAAATATCGTATTACGTATCGTAATAAATATTAAAAGCGACTCAAACAAGGAGATTGTTAACTTTGGTACTTTGTTACTTTTACATTATATACATAAGAACATATATACAATTATGCTTAAAACAGGAGATAAAATTCTACTGTTCCGATATACTGTAAAATCCATCTCACTTAAAATTACACAATTTTAACGACTAGAAACTATAATGTTGTCATTCGTACGTTATTGATCTGCGCCGTCTACTTTTATAAGCTTCCTTGATTAAGATGGAATGCAGTGATAGTTCTCCAACCAGGTACATCGACTTACTTAAAAATACAATTAAAAAACGTAACAAAATGTGTTCGTTTCTTCTCTAACGAAAACTTCTTTGAAATGAAATACTGCCTTCTAATTTGTTCGATGATCAAATATCTTCGTTTTAACTGAGCTGATCGGTCGCGAAACCGTAGACCTCCAGCACGCGGATCTCGAAGTCGCCGCTGGGGCACAGAGGGGGGTTGTTGAACGTCTGGCAGCGGTCCGTTTTCCCGAACCTGATGTTCTCGTCCATCCAGATGGCTTGGCCTTCCCTGAAAACCGAACAAATTACACACTTGCGAAAAATGCATTCTTGACAAATTCGCTAATTCGGTGGGTGTCAATCACGCTCTTGGACGGCTTCCAGAAAATTATTAATTCGAAATATGCGATGATGGAAATAGCGGCTTTCAAGGGCGTCTGAGTGCATCGGAAAAACAAGAACTAGCAAGGATTTTTAAGGAAGTGTATGGTTTTTGCTTAAATCGATAGATGGCGGCACCGATTCTCCTGAATTTTTACCAAAACATTGAAAAGGATAAATAAATGATGGTTTTAACTTTGTTGTTTCTTTGAAACCCTGAACAGTTAATTTTTAATATTCATGAAAATTGCCAACTATGAACCAAAAATTTTCCAAAAAAAAAAAAAAATCACGGTGATTGTGTTTTTTTTAAAGTGTTGTCTTTTATATCATTTGTAAACTGATATATGCTATATTTTTGAAATCAACACCTCGAAATTTATATCACAGAATTTTTGTGGATTATTAGGTACACAATTTTTTCGTAGATTTCTACCTGCTGAACTTTTTTTTTTCATTTTTTTTCCAAAATTGCTACCATTTTTCTAGAATATGAAATTTCGCAATTTTAGAGATTTAAAAAAAAAATCTTTTAAACCGAATATTTAAATATAAATTTTCCTCTGAGACCAGAAACCCGCTACATTTTTCGTTTCAGTATTCAGATTGTTTAAAATTAGGTGAACTTTTTCTAGATTTCGACTTCCAGAATTTCCATTTAACAAATGGCAATTTTCAAGATAAAAAAAAAAATTCAAACCCAATACTCGAAAATCTTGCTCTAGGACCATGAACACACTATATTTTTGGAATCAGCAAGTTGAAATCTATATCCCAGAATTTTTCGTGGAATCTGAGTTTTTTTCAAAAAAGCGTCTGAAATTTTCGATTTTTTTTCGACCTTTTTCGAAAATGATGTACACACTTTTTTTTGTAGATTTCGGTCTATTTCTATCCTCATTTTTTCAAAAACTACTCCGATTTTTGGAAAATCGCCGAAATAGAATGCGACATATTTTGGGATTTTGAAAAATTTTGTTTTTTCAAAAACCTTGTTCTGAGATCAAAAACGCGCTACATTTATATTCTATAATTTTTGTGCATTTTTAGGAAACTTCCAAAAGCTCAATTTTTCATTTAGAGATTTTTCGATTTTTTTTCGACGATTTTCGAAAATCAGGTATTTTTTGTAGATTTCGATTTCCAGAAGTTGTTTTCGGCTTCATTTCTTCGAAAATTGCTATTGCTTCCAGAAACCCATGCCAATTTTCAAGATTAGAAAAAAATTGATTTTCAAACCCAATATTTCGAAAAACTTGTTTCGGGACCATGAACACACTATATTTTTGGAATCAGTAAGTCAAAATCTATATCCTAGAAATTTTCGTTGAATGAGGGATTTTTTCCTAAAGCTTTTTTTCGACCACTTTTCAAAATTAGCTAAATTTATTATTTTCGTCTTCATTTTTTCAAAAATTCCTACCACTTTTCTAGAATCGCTAATACGACAATTTTCGAGATATTTAAAAATTTTTTCTTTCAAACTGGATATTTCTAAAATCTTGCTCTGAGACCAGAAAGCTACTACATTTTTTGTTTTAGTACGCCAAAATCTATGTCAAGGATTTTTTTGTGGATTTTTAGGTAACTTTTCCAAAAGCTCAATTTTTCATTTAGAAATTTTTGATTTTTTTTTCGACGATTTTCCACAAATTAGGTAATGAGATTTTTTTATAGACTTCGACTTCCATAAGTTATATTCATTACCGCGAAAATTCCCGCCATTCTTCCAGAATTCTCATTTGGCAAATAGCGGTTTTTAAGAAAACAAAAACAAATTTTAAACCCAATGATATATTTTTGGAATCAGCACATCTAATTTTTTTTTTGAGTTTAAAGTTTTATCTGAATTTTAATTTTCCGATTTTTCTATGTTTGGTTCTTCAGAATTTTAGACTTTTCATTTTTTCAGTTTGCAATTATTCGAACTTTCAATTTTTTTATTTTTTAGTTTGGCGATATTGATTTTTCAATTCTAAAATTTGTAATTTTTCGAGTGTTAAGTTTTTCGATTTTTGAATTTCTCAATATCTCGATTTTTAATTTTCAGTTTTTTGATTGTTTTTTTGTTTGGATATTTCAATTTTCCAATTTTCCAATTTCTCCATTGCCCGATTTTTAATTTTTCGATTTTTCAATTATGCGTTTCTACGATCTTTTGAATTTTTCTATTCTCCGATTTTTCATTTTTTCAGTTTGCAATTATTCGATCTTTCGATTTTTCAGTTTCGTGTTGTGAATTTTTCGATTTTTCGACATTTTCTTTCTTCAGTGTTTCTATTTTATAATTTTTAAATTATTTTGATTTTTCAAATTTTCGATTTCCCAATTTTTAATTGTTCGATTTTTCAAATTATCTTTAATTTTTGGATGTTTCAGTTTTTCAGTATAACTATTTTTCGATTTACAAGTCTTCTAGTTTTCAGTTTTTTAAGCTCTCAATTCTTCGATTCGCAATTTTTTGATGTTATAATTTTTCGATTGCTAGTTTCCAAGTTTTCAATTGTTCGATTTTTAAGTTTCCATTTTTCAATTTTAATGATTTTTCAATGAATATTTCTATTTTTCGATTTTACAGTATTTCGTTTCTCCAGTGAGCGTCCAAAATAAAAAACACCAGAGAAACATGAAAAATCGTGTTTATTTGTAAATAAAAAACTGAAGAAACGATTTTTTTTTCAAAAATTGCCACCAATTTTTGAGATTTTTAAAAATTTTGTCTTTCAAACCGGATATTTCAAAAATCTTGCTTTGAGACTAGAAACCTGCTACGTTTTTCGTTTCAGTATCTACATCCCAGATTTTTTTGTGGATTTTTAGGTAATTTTTCCAAAAGCTCAATTTTTCATTTAGAAATTTTCGATTTTTTTTTTCGACGATTTTCCAAACTTTCGGTAATGAGATTTTTTGTAGATTTCGACTTCCATAAGTTATTTTCGGCTTCATTACCTCGAAAATTCCCACCATTTATTCTTTCAGAATCCCCAGTTGACAAATGGCGGTTTTTAACCGGTTTGGAAGCAGCACATCTAAATCTATAACTCAGAATTTTTCGTAAATTATGAGCGCACTTTTCCAAAAGCTAAATTTTTCAATTTTGAAATTATCGATTTTTTTGCGACCACTTTCCAGAATTAGGTGCACACTTTTTTTTGTAGATTTATTTTTTCTTTTTCTCAAAAATTGCTATAATTTTTTTCTAGAATCGCCAATATGAAATTTGGCAATTTTTGGGATTTTTAAAAAAAATTGCAGATTTTTTCTCTAGATTTTTAGGCAACTGTCAAAAGCTCAATTTTTCATTTCGAGAAAAATTTTTAGAAAATTAGGTACATTTTTTTGTAGATTTCGACATCCAGAAGTTGTTTTCGGCTTCATTTCATTTTCAAACCGGATATTTCAGAAATTTTGCTCGGAGACCAGAAATTGGCTACATTTTTCGTTTAAGTATGATGAGATCTACCTACATCACAATATTGTTGTGGATTTTTAGAGAAATTTTCCAAAACGCTTAATTTTTAATTTCTCCTTTTTTGACGATTTCGACTACCAGAAATTATTTTCAGTTTCATTTCTTCGAAAATTCCCATGATCACATTATAGAATTGAAGTCAGCAAAATCTATTTATATCTCAGAATTTTTCGTGAATTATGAGCGAACTTTTCCAAAAGCAGGATTTTTGAATTCTGAAATTTTGGATTTTTTTCCCACCAGTTTCGAAAATTAGGTACACTTTTTCAAAAATTGCCACCATTTTTCTAAAATCGCCAATATGAAATTTGGTAATTTTTGGAATTTTAAAAAATTTAGAAACCCGCTACATTTTTCGTTTCAGTACGTCGAAATGTATATCCTAGATTTTTGTGGATTTTTAGGTAACTTTTCCAAAAACTCAATGTTTCATTTCGATTTTCGATTTTCTTTCGACTTCATTTCTTCGAAAATTGTTACCATTTTTTCAGAATTCCCATTTAATAAATGGCAATTTTCAACATTACAAAATTGCTTTTCAAACTCAATATTTCGAAAATCTTGCTCCGGGACCATGAACACTATTTTGGAATTAGTAAGTCGAAATTTTTATCCTAGAATTTTTCCTGGATTATGAGAGAATTTTTCCTTTAGATATTTGCGACCTTTTTTCGACGATTTCGACTACTCGAAATTATTTTCGGCTTCATTTGATCGAAAATTCCCACTATTCTTCCAGAAAAAAAAAAATCCAACCCAATATTTCGAAAATCTTGCCTCAGGACCATGATCACGCTATATTTTTGGTGTTAACATGTCAAAATCTGTATTTCAATTTTAATTTTCCGATTTTTTAATGTTTGGTTCTTCAGAATTTTCATTTTTCAATTTTTCGATTTTTCCATTCTGCGTTTCTACAATTTTTTTGGAGTTTTTTATTTTTCAATTTTTCAGATTCTCTATTTTAAATTTTTAGATTTTCCAGTTTCGCGATTTTGATTTTTCAATTCTAAAATTTGCAATTTTTCGAGTGTTGAGTTTTTCGATAATTCCCGATTTTTAATTGTTCGATTTTACAAATTTTCGATTTTTTAATTTCTCAATATCTCGATTTTTCAATATTTGGTTTCTTCAGTACATATTTTTATTTTTCAGTTTTTCGATTTTCATTTTTTTTTTGGGCAATTTCCCAATTTTCCAATTTCTCGATTGCTCGATTTCTAATTTTTTGATTTTTCATTTTTTCGGTTCTTCAATTTTTCAAGTTTTCAGTATTTAATTGTGCGATTTTCAATTTCTCTTCTTATGGATTTCATGATTTTTAACTTTTCTATTTTTCGACATTTTGTTTCTGTTTTTTAATTTTTAAATTACATATTTCAATTTTTCACAAATTTTCGATTTCTCAATTATCCGATTTCCCAATTTTTAATTGT